AACAATTTCAAAAATTTTTGTTTTATGTTGAGAAAGGTACCCCTGTGAAAGAAAAGGCCCGCCGAAAGAAACACATAGCGGTTACTTCGGGCGATTTCGGTTCTGTAAACTTTGTTCGGGAGCACTGCCAACACCGGCGGCGATTAATACTGAGAAAAATAGCAGAGTAGTCGTATTAGTTGCAGTAATTATTGATCCCACATTGTAGAACTGGATAAATAAAGCTATATCAAGCCAAATAGTAAAAGTGCACTTAATACCACGTTTACTGTACCGAGCTGCCTGAACGTCCGATTTTGGTGGTATTGGCGAATGCATTCATGTGGGAACCACAGCTATTTTGGGCCTTCGATGGTACTTCGGCTATACTGAAAAGAAAAACGTTTGCCCTTGTTCGAGGAAGCGTCGAAAATTTGAACTGTACACAGCTGCGCTTTCACCTCCGCCTTTATATATTTTCAAAATATTCCAGTCATTTACAGCGCACGGCAAATAAAATGGACAGTTTAAATTATTCTTGTATTTGCCTTAATACGTTGTAAAACCATTGGCGACGCGCACCAGGCGAGCCCATGCGATCATACGTTTTTACAGTATTTCGTGTTGTAGTGAGATCGCTGGGAAACGTAGTAGCTAGGATTTGTGACATACTGGTTTTCTAAGTTCGGAAACATAATTGTCTACGCGGTACTTGGAGAGGGGACATTCCGTTAAAATTTCAGCTTTTCAATTTCTCTGGTTCTTGAGTTAGTAATTTTCCTGCCAAAAAATTTCACGGTTCTATATATGAAAACCACACGTATCTGGGAGCAGAATTTGATATCTTTGACTTTTACGGGGGGCTGAGAACATTCCCTTAAAACTTCAGCCCCAGTTTTTCTATTTCCCGAGTTAGCCATTTTTTCGCCAAAAGTTTCTGTAGGGTCGCACATGAGAACCATAAACACCGAGGGGCTAAATTCGGTAACTTTAAGTTGCACATGTGCTGGGAACATTCCCTGGAAATTTTAGCCTCCCAGCTTCCCTGGTTCCCAAGTTAGCGACTTTCGCGCTAGAAACACTTGCGGGGCCATACGCGGGTAACACGCACATCTGGGGGCTGAATTTGAAATCTTTTAGTTTCATGTGGAA